ACGGAACGGAAGGAAACGAGAGAGCTGCTGGCATCGGGGGAGCACATGGAAGATTTTGAGAAGAAGCTGTCGATCGCGGATTCAATGGAGACTGAAGAACGACCGAACGAAAACTGCAGCAGTAGCAGCAGCAGCAGCAGCAGCAGCAGCAAAGACAATAAAATCCTGGATTTGCTTCGCAGGTTCCTAGATATTCAAGAGCGAAGAGCCCAAGCCTATGCCAAGCTTAAAAAGTAGCTACACTCACTCGTTCTTTGTTTTAGTTTTTAGGGTTTTCTCCCTTTTGATTACATGTTTTGTTGATTTGATTTAATGTTTTATGGATCGATGGTAGTGATTACGTTTCAGTAGTAGCTTAATTAGCTCTTGAATGCATTTTTCTTTTCAATCGAACTGCTTAAATTTCCCATGTAATTGATTGGGAAATTCGCTTTAGTCTGTAGATTTTTCACATATTTAATCGTAGGTGACTGGGTGTTTTCTGGTTTTGCTCAATTTACTTTGAACAATGAGAACATGATTTCTTCTTTACAAAATGGGGAGTCTTGCACTGATGGTTAAATTGTCAATGACATTTTGAAGGCCCGTGATCTCTAATCTCTAAGTGTTGAGAGCTAAAAATAACATATTTAGTATTTGGAGAGTTAATTGAGGGTCCGGAAAGAAATGGGTTCGAGGATATATGAAAGTTGCAAGCTTTTTCTGCATATGATAATGAAATACAATTTCAGATTTCATTTTTGTTATTTTATTTCACTTCATTGGTATGGTTTTATTTTGTGCTCTTGCCTTTGTTTGTATGAATCATGTGTTGGTAATTATTGTACTATCTGGTCTCATTTTCTCTTGCAGAACTTGTTTGTCGAAATTTATGTATTAATCTTTGCCTCTGTCTATAATGTTGAAAGGGATTCTAATACTTCCTTTTATGTTCTTGGGCAGGGGATTTTCAGACTATATGGTTTCAGGAGGGGAGTTAGCTTACCAGCAGCTTTGCAGTGAGATTACTGTAGAGTTCAATGACTGCTCAAAACAAGTATTAGAGCTGAATCTTACCATGCCATTGTTGTAAAATTTTCTTTCTCTGTTCTATTCTCTATGTGTTGTTTAATCTAAGTGCTTCTTCCTGAGTTCAGGTCCTTGAGATGGAGTCTCTATTTCTGAATCCAGATTACTGCCGAGCGGATCTTGTGCAGCTACTTAGAGCTGTTCAAACACAGGAAAAGGAGAAATTGCATCTGGTATATGACCACAGTGATTATTGACTAGCTATGTATTTTCACTGAAATCCCTGGGTGAAAATATGACATTGAACTCTTCGTTTTATGTTTATATTATCTCATGCTTTTTCATGCTTCTCATTCATGTCATACACATTTGATCTTCCCTATCTGTAAGTAGAAAGAGATTTTTTATTTTGAAGTTTCCACTGTTCTAGAGGATCCTTTTGCCTCTAGGTCTATTAGAAAGTTGCAAGTAGAAAAAGCTATTCACTGAATGATGATATTCATTTTGAAAGTTGAACCACTTCTCGCTGTTCATGGGATTTGCCTGAATTGTTTATTGGTGTAATTGCTTGACGATTGTCTTGCATTTTCCAAGATTGTTGTGGCTGTAAATTCATAGACTAAATATATGCAACAGTGCAAACAGATTAAGCAATCACTAAATTGTTGTTTATTTTTATCATTGGTGCCCATTTCTTGCTTGTATTTTTCTGACAATTAGTTCTTTTCTCTTCTGTAGACTGCTAAAATTCAGGTGTTGAAGAAGGCTGGCCGCCCATCAGAGCGCCTGGTGAACCACGAAAATTGCAAATTCAAGAAACCAATGGAGCACGAGTGTGTGCATCTCCATGAGATAACTGAAGCAGCTGGAACAGAAGAAGCAGAAGCAGATGCTGCATATGATAATGCTCTCAATGAAGCCATTAGAGGCGTGCAGGATGCTGTCACGACCATAAATGAACACTTAGAAGAAGTGAGATATGAAATTGAAGCCCTTGAAGCACAGTAGAGATGCTAACTTACCTAAGATTGGAAATAGACCTATTAAAGCTAATCTCTTAGAACAGCAGGGGAGAATACCAGTGGGGATTATGCACCTCTTTTAGTATTAATACATGCATTCGTTCTGTTGCTGAATTGTGTATAAGATTCTGATGTTGAATTTATTGGCTTCATATTTGTTATTTTAGGGATTTATATTTCCTTTTCTCCTTAAATCACGTTTGTACCGAAGAGTTGTTTTGTTTCAATCAATCATGTTTGTAACAACTTCCACTAAGCGGACAACTCCTGTAATCTCTATCTTCCATTGTGGGTTACATAAGAAGCAAAAGGAGAAAAGGAAATTTCTCTTTTAGATTACCTGTTCATATTCATGAATACATTGTACCGAACCAGTTGCATTGGAGGTACCTCAGGGCTGCCATATAAGAGGAACTCTAGCAAAAGCCCTATCAAAAAGCATTAGGCATTTTTGTATTGTTTTAGCTGAGTCGAAATGGGAGTGATCTTCCGGAGGCAGTAGAGATGGTTGGCTGGGAATGGTATCTTCAGTCTCTCTGCTTTGTGTTTCTGTAATTTCTTAACAGTGCTGATCCCTTCCTACGTCAACCATTTCTACTGCTTCTGTGGTTTTCCATCTACCCTTTTCTCCATGCTCTTTCAAGACTGCAACATATATCCATCATTTTACACGGTTGCACATTCATATCACTTTATTTTCAATGACTTGTTTCTGTTCAAGATTTTTTTATGCATCACAAATCACTGAATTGCTGCGAATTCATCCCCCTTTTTTTTTTTGGCAACAAAATAAATTACAATCTCTGTCAAAGGCATGAAGCACAAATAAAAATGTAATTGTTCTGTCTCAGTCACCTTGCCTGATTTTCTTTGAATGGTAAGCCATCCGACTTTTACAGGTGAGAGAAGCAGCACCATATGGTTCATGTCCAGAAATTTTGTAATGGTTGATACAGAACATGAGATTCTGTACATGAGCATGGTTAAGAAGGCTATGTGCCCTTCACATCTTATCCCAACCTAAAAATCAATGAGGACAGATGGTGGAACATCAGCTGGTTCTGGAAACCTCAGCTCCATGGCATGTAGATATTGCCTTTATCCATGTACTGTATATCCCGTAATCCTTTATCCTACACAAATAGATTGCATCTTAATAACAGGGGAGTTAAGAGGATTTAATAATTGTAAAAGAAAATAAAACAAATGTCATCTACTCTAACGGGATTGCCCCTTGCAAATCAAATCAGAAAATTCTTACTTACAAGTAGACATCACTTGGATCGATTTCAGGAAAGAGGTTGATATAAAAGCGGAAGCCATCAGGGCTTATATCTCTACATAGCAAACCTGTCAATACAAAGTTGTAAATCAAATATCAACAAGTTTAGTAATATTCTAATAGAAAGCAGTAGAGGAAGTTGTACCTTTGCTCTCGGCAGTTAGAAGATGCTCCTTGGCCATTGCTGGAGCAATTTCTAGGGTCCTTGCAGCATCACTTGCACTTATTCCATTTCGAAGAGCTTCTGGCTTAGACACAAGGGCTATGATCCTAGCAAAAACCTAGAATTGACAGGCAAATGTTGTCAAGAACCTTGAATTATTTTGTGGTATACCATTTGCAAGAGATGCTACATAAATCGCTAGGACTGTAAATGTAGAGCCAATAATCCATTCAGTAGTTTCCACTGACATAAGGGGAAAAGGACAAAGATTTTATTCCAAAGACAACTAAATAATGTCATCAACATGAGTATTAAAGGGAAATAGATTTACCTCTTCATCACTGTGAGACTTGTTTTGTATGACCATGACTCCACTATCAAATTTCCGAAGCATTACAGGACTGTTACAACAAAGTACAATATTATATAAGTCAATCAAAACAACTGAACATGGATTCCTCTGTTGAGATTGTGACATATGCTCATCAAGTCAACTGAAGAAACTTCATACATACACATCAAACTTCTCCCAAAGAGAACAAGCTTGCAACAAATCCTCTGGTGAGATCAATTCTGTGCAGAAAGAATCATAAAAAGTATTTCAGTTCCTAAACTGGTAGTTTCATGACCAAACCTTTCTCTCTCTCTTTTTTTTTTTTTTTTTTTTTTTTTTTTTTTTGCAACAAATCCTCTGGTGAGATCAATTCTGTGCAGAAAGAATCATAAAAAGTATTTCAGTTCCTAAACTGGTAGTTTCATGACCAAACCTCTCTCTCTCTTTTTTTTTTTTTTTTTAAACCTGAGAAAGAGGATAGAAACCTTTCTTTGTTCTTCCCTTTCCCTTTCAAACCATTGAAAACAGCATAATACATTTAGTAGTTTAAACTTTTATGATTTACAAAAACTGCCAAAAAAAAAAAAAAAAAATATTCCCCCATATCTGCAAAGGGCATTAATCCTCTTGCACTGGGACATTGATTTTAGTGAATCAGAATGCCCACAACTAACAATAGGTCATGGCATGCTTGCCAAGACAGAGCTATAGAAGCATAGTTCAGCAATTCAACCTCTTCAAATGATGGAAAGGAAGAATGCAATACAACCAAATATGCCTTTAATTATTGGAACCATTCTCCTAACCAAAACAAGAAATAAACTAAGCATAAAGCCAAACCTGTTCCTCGAGCACGATTGAAGAGACAATATACATCAATAAGATTGATCATTCCACCAGCTTTCTCTAGTGGAATTCTGATAAAATCTGCCAACTAAGCATGAGAAACAAAATTAGAATTATAATATCTTTAAAGAAAAGTAAAGTAATAGGAAATCTACCTCAAAAGTAATTTACCAACTAAATAGTGAAAAGAACAATGTGAAAATGTTACCAGACACTTGAGCACCAACATGGTTCTTTGCAAAGCATAAACACAATTTCAATTCAAACATATTAAACAAGATCTGGCAACCATATGTAAACTTGTATCTTGAAACCAACTGAATCAAAGTCTAGTTGCAGCACAGGTCTGATGTGTGCAACCAATTAGATACCAGTAAGAGTGACTAACAGACACATTCAAAATAAAAGAGTAATTTAAAAATTGGTGACCACCATTTGCATTCTCTTCAAAATAAAAAAAGGATGAAAAAGTTAATAACAATGGATTTAAAGAACAATAAAAAAGAAGAAACATGAAAACCTGGCGGGATAGTTGTTGGTGATACAGGGCACCAGCAGTCTCTTTTGTAACTGGGGATATTATACCAACACTCAACAACCAATCCTGCATCTCTTCTTTGGAACCCATTTCCTCATCATTTGCTGCACTGGTATTTGTTCCAGACAAAAGCTTTTGCCTCATTTTTTCAGCTAGCATCACCATCTCTTTCGCCTTACTCTGTAAATTCAAAACAATTCTAGATCTTGAGAAGAAAAAAAGAAGCAACAAACCTATCAAGATCAACATCAAAGTTATAAACTAATCTTCCCTAACTTCCCAAATGTACCAAAATTGTGTAAGTGCAGCTTAGAATACTAATCTTTTGCAAGCATATGACATATGACAATGAAATCATAGTAACTAAAATGAGTTTATTCAGAACTAAAGTTCCCTGAAATTACTTGCAGCACTACTAAAGATTTCAGAAAACTCATCAAAGAAACAATTTCTTCAATACACATGCACCTAAAAAGAGGGTGAAGAAGAGGAAGAGGACATTACCATTAGTGCATTCAAGTCCTGGAACGCCTCCTGCAAGCTCTTATCTGTACTCTCCCACATTTCCTGCTCCTTCCGCAAAATTCCTGCTACCCCCACCATCCTCACCGCTCCATCACTTCCATACAACCCTCCACCTGTGCTCGAGCCAGATCCCCTATTGGAGTCCGAACTCACAGCAGTCTCCCACTCCCTCCCCTTCCAACATTCCGAAAACTTACCCAAAAATCCATCAGAGTCCCCTTTCCCCCTGATCACCGCTGTCACCACCACCGAGCTGGACCCTGAACTCGAACCCAGATCAAAAACCTGTCCGTCTGTATCCGTGAGGACCTGGAAACGAATCCTGGGAGAGTGGAACATAGACTTGATTGATTTCTTTGGGGAGAATATGTGGGAGATGGCGGCCAGAGGGATTGCATATGCTGCAGTAGCGGAGGCAGAGGGGGGAAGCCAGATAAGACGGTGGGTAGTCAGGATAAGAACGCCAGATTTCAAAGCCGAGAATAGATGAGACCGGTCCTCTTCCGGTTCGAGGTCGACGGACGTGAGTAGTTGGCATTCAACTTCACTGGGGAGAAGGACAGGCCGCCCACTGCTTGTTAGGTCAGCTTGGCGGAAGAATTTGGCTTTGGTGGTGGTCGCCGCCATGTCGGAGTTACATCAGACGGTGGCAGATCAACGATGATCCAAGGGGAGATGGTCAGAACGCTGAAGTTGGGTAAATTACGAAGAAGTATAATGGTTATGGAGTCGTAATTGAAATGTCTATCTTGCCCATTCTTCCTTTTCCTTCCGTCGCCGACCACGGGAGAATACGCCGGTGACCAAGCGCCCGGTGGCGGCGATGAAACGAAATCGGAAGTCCACAAACCTCTTGGCCTTGGGCTAGAGCAGGCTAAAATTATATTGGGCCTAAAATTATTGTCCAGAATTGAGATTCGAGGTCCACTCTCTAATCCCACTTCCGCGACATCTAGAATTATAGATTCTAGGCCCATTTCGTTCGGATAAACCCTACTTCCTCTTCTTCTTCCTTCTTCTCCTCCTCCTCCATGTAGAACCTTCTAAATCCCTAGCTCTGTACCTTTAGGCGCTTACACTGTTCTTCATACACATGTAGAAACGTCTTCTTGATTCGTCTTTGCCTCATCGAATAGAAGGAATCGACTCATTTTATATCCGGTGAACTGCAATTCTAGCTTCTCTTCATCCTCAAACGATGAGGCCTCCTGGAAATTCCTTTCCTCGCCAATTCCGTCCGAAAGCTCCTCCTCCACTTACTCAACAGGTACGTCTCTCTATTTATGCATGAAACTGTATAAGAGATGTTTCGTATGGATTGTAAAATGTATTAAATTTTCTTTAATTCTGTTAAAGCGGCAGGGGTTCCAATCGAATCCTTCACTACATAATTCATCCGGGATGTTGCAAAATTCCATGCCAATTCCATTCGGCAATGCAAACTTGTTTCCATTTGTCAATCAAGCTGGGTTCTTGAATGCTCTTCAACCAAACAACCATCTGGGTGTTCCCCAATTCGGTTCCATGCTTACCAACGTGGGGTTTGTACCACAATTTGGTCTTCCGGGTATGAACAATGTTTCTGCGTTTCCCCAGGTTCAGGGCCAGTTTAGTAATCCAATGCAGAATGGGAACCAACTGAACCCTTCTCAATTACAGGGCCAATTTATACCAAATTTGTTGAATTTGGCTCAACAACTTAATCAAAACATGGGTGGGCAGCAACTCTTTTTCCAGAATCCAATGCCAACCCAAATTCCTAACCATTCTCAATTTATTCCTCCTTATGTCATCCCTTCATGCACTACTCAAGCAATGGGATGCCCAAATCCGAATCTTCTTGCAAATATGCAGTCTAATCAGGGTGAACAAGGTAACCAGAATAAGCAAAATGTAGCAGATATTAATGGACAAAAGGTGCTGTCCGTGGCTATTTCACACGTTCAAGAAATCTCATCTTCAACAAATTCTGCTCTGGTTCAACCGTGGCAAAATCAAAACTTGCAGCCTTCAATTTTCATGTCACAGGTAGCCAGCTGGCCTCATTTGTATTTGAATTACACATATTTATTCCATTTGCTAGAACCTAAGTCAAATCTGAGGATTAAAGCCAAATCTTAGAAATACTTCCTGTATAAATGATAGGAAAAAATCTATGGACTTTGTCAACTGTTTCAACCATAGCCTCTACTGGTTAATTTAAATCTTACAAGCTGTTGCAGGGAAATCTTGCAAAAAGTGGTCAGAGTTTTAAGAATCTTCAAGGGAAAAACACCGGAAGAAAGGCTTCACAATGGAGGTAGGTATTCTTGCCTAGCTTTTGGTTTCAAAAGACTTGGACCAGAAGGTTGTGATTCATGAAAAATTAAGTATGTGTAGATCCCAAAAGTCTCAGTTTCATAAAGTGGATGATGGCAAGAGAAAGAGTAGATTTGGAAGTGAGCACAGTGAAAAAGGTTTGATTATGCATTCCCAAAAATTTTGTGTATTTACTTACAGTGTTACATTTATGTGTTTATTGTGCATTAACTTCTTCCTTTCCTCTCTCCCCTTGATCAAGTAGCAGGGCAGGGCAATGAGAGGGCAGTAAAATATCCTCGCACTGATTCTGCAAAGCCTGATAGAGAACAGAGAAGGTAAATTTTCTTAATCTTGCCCACCAGTCATAATTTTACTTAGCAGTCAAAGAAATAACTCTATAGAGACTAAGAGAAAAGGTTAGAGAACTCTTATTGAATGGATTCTATGTGGGAGGAAGTAGCCTGTGATTTTTTGTGGCCATCACCTGCTTGAAGCCAATTCAGACAGTTTTTGCCCGAATAAGGCAAGCAAAGGAAAAAAAGAGGAATGAAGCGAGAAGTTTTGATGGTCATGTACTCATGTTTACTTGATATGGAACTTGGATTGTTTTCTATTTCTCAAGCTCTTTTTATTTTAGTATTATTATTATTTTCTTTTATATCATATTCTAACTACCATCCTTTTCAATTTTATGTGCATGTATCTGCAATTTGGTTTGTAAATGAGAAGATCTCTTGCTTTGATATATACGGAGAATGAAATTCAACAGTGGCGTGAAGAACGTAAGAAGAATTACCCATCAAAAGCTAACATAGAAAAGGTTGGATTAATCTGCTGATGTTATCTTGCATGTACCTTTCAAGAAATTCCTATGGTGATAATTAGCTTATCTGCCTGCAGAAGCTGAGTGGAAAGCTAACTGACCCTGAGGTTGCAAAAATCAGGCGTGAGGTACATTTGCTTAATCTTTTCATGATTGTTTGCAGTATATAGGTCAGTAAACATAGACATAAGCATGAGACCTGTCTCATCCTTACAATATTTATATTCAAGGCAATTTAGATGCTTTGAATCTATACAAAAGTCCTATCTTTTTCTAGGCAGATAATCCAATTTTTAGTTATACATGGGGTTTTTGCAGCAACTCAAGGAGGTCTTGGCAAAGCAGGCTGAATTGGGAGTTGAAGTTGCAGAAATACCATCATCCTATCTGTCAGATTCAGAGAAAAGGGTCCATGGAGAAGAGAGGGATACAGGGGGGAGATTTCAAAGGAGGAACAACAGAAGAGGAAGATTTGATAAGAAGAGCCAGTTTGTCAAGAAACAAAGGTTAACTGACCAGGACTCACTTAACGTCCCTTCTTTCAACCAGAGGAAGCCAACACTTCTAGAGAAGCTACTCAGTGCAGATATAAGGAAAGATAAAAGCCGTTTGTTGCAGGTTTTCAGGTTCATGGTGATGAATTCTTTCTTCAAAGATTGGCCAGAAAAGTCATTGAAATTTCCTTTGGTGGTTGTTAAAGAAAGTGGGTATGAGGGTGATAAAGTTGAAGAGAAATCCAACACTACAGTTGAAAATATTTCTAAGCATAGTGATAGTGGGAAGGATGAAGCTGATGATCACAATGGTGATGGTAACGATGATAATGACATTAACAGCAACGAGGATGATGACTACAAGGAAGAACATGACACACATGCAAACCAAGCGACTGTGTTTGTTAAGGAGAAAGCAACGATCCAGGTAATAGAGAGGGATGATGAAGAAGAAGGAGAAATTATTGACTAAGAATGCCTTCATTGGATGATGATGACAAAGAACATAAGGGGCAAGCTAGCCGAGTGACTAGGAATCTAGCTTTGCTTCTCATCCATCTCTTTTTGTTCTGCATAGCGCATTTCTGTAAATTCTGCCCTGGAACATATTTTGAATCCTAAAATATTGATCAGCAGAAATGAGAATCAAGAGTTGAGTTCAAATAAATCTTTGCAATGCATAAGCTCAAATGTTTGATTAAATATTGTGAAGGACCTGGTTAAAAAGGCCCCATCTAGATTGACAAGAGTCCAGGTTCTAAACGTTTCAGCCTTGGCCCTTAACAAGACCGTCATCAAAATCTCTAATCACTTGATCTGTATTGATCACTTTGACTAAATATAAGCACATCACTTCAGTTGGTTAAATACTAAAATAAAGTTTTCTGTTATTAGATAGATATCCAAAATTCTGAATAAGTTTCAATAACATTAGATTAAAAATAAACAACTATTTCTTCTATAAAAAATTTCACTTTACCTGCAACAATAGACTTTGTAACTTAAAATTGAAGCGTGTACTGAAATAGAGTGCAAAGAAACATCGGCTTATGAGGTTACAAGGAGGACCAACGCTATTATTCATATTCTGAATAGTTAAACTTCTCTCCAGACCAATTAGAAATAAGGAACTATATCAAACTGAAGATGGACAAGCTAGCTGAACATTGCCGAGTTCCATGTCATTGCCAGTTCAAAACCTTTCTTCTAAGATGGACAATAAGATTCCTCAAAGTAGTAATAGAGAAAAATGTGGTTTGCAAACTTTAGGTACACATGGCCCTCACGTGGGGAACTCTCATCTTAGGACAACATTCAACTTTTTCTCTGCCTGCTCTCTCACATTGAACTGCATTCACAAATAAAAAGTATATTTAAGGAGGGGAAAAAGGCAGATGTAAAATGCAAAAGGGAAAGCAGATATATACCTGCAGCTCATTGATCTCTTCATCTGTAAGGGAACGTTCCATGGATCGATATGCAATCCTATAACAGTGGCTTGTCATACCTTTCTTGTTGGTAAAATTATCAATCAATTGCACCTGGTACAAGAAATTAGTTCAGAACAATGTCCCTGATCCATGTGCTTCTTAGTTCTTACTTGGGCTTCATTCAGAAAAATTTTCTTTCAAATCATTACATTTGTTTACCTCCTCCACAAGATCCCCAGCAACATCTCTAACAACTTCACATAAATTGTTCTCGGTAAATGATTCATTAATCCAGAAACTCATGTCTTTAAAACAGGGAGGATACTGCAAAAAAAGTTCAGGTGTAAGCATCGCACATTTCTTAACCTGTAAGAGAAATAGAGAATATAAAAGAAATGTAATAAAACTGAAAGAAGAGTATAATTAACACCTTTGAAAAAGGTTTGAATTTGATCCCCAGCTCACCCTTGGAAAACTGCATTCAAATAACTCTAAATTAGTCAAGAAGAAAAACACAACTCTTAAATTATTAATTACTGAAAGATCAACTTTAAAGCAAAGGGAAAGTAAGCAATCTAAAAAAAGAAAGAAAACTTGTTTAGAAGCCACCTGAGAGGTGAATCGCATATCAGTTGACCAAAAGAGCCTGATGTCCGGTATGTCAAAGAGGACCATTGCCAGCCGCTCCAATCCAAGTCCAAAAGCCCAAGCAACATTGTTTGGTCTATTGCTTGTTCTTAATATTTCTTGCTCCATCACCCCACAGCCCAAAACCTCCATCCATTTCTCCTGACAATTGATGGTGGTTGTTTGGTTAAATTATAGTTGGTTCTAATGTTACCATTATTAAGTGAGTGTACCAATTATTAATTTCAAGAGATTCAGTATATATGCATCAAAGAGAAAAAGATTGCATGAGGCTTGACCTAATAAAGCATGAGATATACATAATTTAGCTTAAAGCAATTTGTGAAAACAAAAAAGAGTACCGTATTCAACATAATACTGAGTCGCAAAGTAATCCCTAAATTAATTTGCCTCTAACCATTATGGAAGGAACTTTTTGACAAAATCAGGAGGCACTGTGACTGGAGAAATGAAACAGGAGAAAATGCAGCAAAATTCAACCTAATAATTTAAGCTTAATAAAACTGACCAATGTCGTTTAAAGAAGAAGAGTGGAATACCTGGAAGTATATCTCAAGCTCATAGGAAGGGTCAGTAAATGGAAAATATGTATCCACCCAACGCATCTCCACGGCACCTGAAATGTTAACATATTGAGTTCAAATAGGTTTCTACTACAAGATACCTTATAGACTACATTACTAATCCTCAGAGGCTAGGTTAACAACTATTGTGAATAAAAAATTTGAAAGATGTCTAAAATTGATAACAGCTAGTTATGTTACAAAATTTTGAATGCAAAAGTTGAAAATCTCAAAAATAGCAAACTGGTGACTGTTTCTTCTCATTTGAATCCCTCCTCAAATATATTTTACCAAATTAGTCATTATAAAAATATCTTTGGATCTTAATGCAACATGGTAGATGATTTATTAAGTCCATATATCTTAGCGTCGCAGCCAAACTTAATCATCTACAAAATTTCATATGCTAAAAAATGCTTCTACTCTTTAGTTTACCAAATAAGTGACGTGCCAAGCCCTCTAGACATTTCTTTAGATCCTCAGCTGCATAGGATGTGGCATCAATTCCAGATGCCTCCCAGTCAACAGGACTGAAAACACGAACTCCTTCCATCTGTAGGGTCAATGAGCAAATTTGTGAGTTTAGAAGAAAATACACACGTCCAAAAGGCCAGCTACCAAAGAAACTATGATTTTCTATATTGAAGATCCCAAACCTGATGGAAGACAGGATAGTGGGTTGAATCAATAGAATCTCTACGATAGACATCTCCAGTTACAAGGAAATTAGTGTGTCCTTTCCTCAACAGCTCTGCCTGATGAGCACTTGTATGACACCTCAACACAGTTTGAGAATCAACATAATATGTATCATTGTAGCTCCTGCTAACATGATCCGCGGGTACCAAGACATCATCAAAATTCTGCAAGACAAAAACTTCATTACCATAGAAAAGCTAAAAGATTGGCTCCAGAAGTGCAAAACCATAGTCCAGCACCAATCTATATGACGTGTAAAATTGGAAGAGCTTTAATAGCTTTCATAGGAAACATCAAAATTGGGAAGCTTTCCTCTCTCCCACAAGATGATAATATTAGTTGTTATCATCTCTACAGACAATTCAGCCAGTTGAAGGAAAACAGGAAACAGATAAACAAAGGAAGAAGATACACAAGTGGAAGGAGGTTGCATTCTACCTGTTGTACGGAAACAATTGGGCAGAGATCATCGAACTTATCAAACTTGTTCTGGTAATTGGTGTCGAAATACTCATATATTGCATTCTTCAGAATTCCAAGAGGGTGCTGATCCCTTCTATGTAGTTGCATTCCAAGTTTAGAAAAAATTGTGTCTGGGACATTGTTTGTCGGGTCATCCCTCACAACATCTGCACAGCAACCCCCATCATCCAAATGGTATCAACATTTCACCCAAATAAAATATCATAGCATATAAAAATAAAATCAGCATAAAATTTAACTTCTCAACAAATATAAAAGGGGCATAAGAACTACAGGCATCAGTCGGTATCTAAAAGTTCAAACGAATGAATTCCATTGAATCCTAGAAAGTTTTAACCTTTTCATGTTTTAATAATCAACAACCAAATTATGAAAATGCAAAGTGAGCAAGCAATTACCATCTTTTGCAATTTTGACTCCACCAAGCTCCACCACTGAAGCCGCCGGTTGTCTCCACTTTTTAGTCGCGGGAAGAGACGATGCAGTAGCAGTGGAAAAGGGTATGCTAAAGGTGAAGCATTTGAAACCATTCCTGTGCTGAAAGAGTGAGTTTCTGTAGAAAAGAGATGAATGAACCATCGAGACGACCCTAGCCATGCTTTACTTCTATTCCTTGTAGTAAATCAGATAAAAACGCAGTAAGCAGCAGGCTTTCTGGATTTTGTCGATTGTGGTTACGCAAACCAATTATCTTCTTTCCCGGTGAATCAAAACAGCGGGCTGCGCCGCCGGTGTTAATGGTTCCAAAGAGAAGATGTGGAGATTCCTAAGTAGCCTCCCTAACCCTGTGTGGCTAAGGATGCAGATGGAATTATGTCAGTTAAGTGGATTGATTTTTAACTTCTAATTGAGAAAAGGGAGAAAATTTGGCAAAGATTACCGTTATGCCCTCCATTCTTTCCCTCCTTTCACTTCCCCGGAGCTGTCTCCGGTTACGCCCAATTCCCAAATATATAAACTTCTACTAAAATTTTTGAAATTGAGTGCCCACCAAAAAAATTTCCACTTTCTTGTTTGCAGAAAGTCTTGCTCTTCACTCAACATTTCTAAGGGGAGGAGGAAGGAAATCCATTGATCAAATTCCTGGGTATACTGTCTCCGATCGGAGATAATGACGCTGAAAGCTTCTCCGATTTCAGGTACTGCTTGTTTTTGCCACCCTTGTTTCTGTATTCAGAAAATATGCTGTTATGGGTCTAAATGCATTCCATTTTCGATGCCAGAACCTTGCCAGAGTTTAATCGATAGGATCTACAGCTCAATTTCCGATGGCATACATTTTGGGTCGCCGGTTTCCTCCTTGAAGACAAGTGAATTGGATTTGGTATGCTATTCTGGGAAGTGGGTGTTTAAATCCTCTTGGAATTGCTCCATTCTTATGTTATGTCTTAATGTTTTGCCCTTTGCTTGTTAGGTATGTGGGGTTCTTCGAATGCTGCAAGGTTTTTCTTGTTCTCTGCTATACTGGGACGAGAATGCTCAGAGATTTTGTGTGAAAAATGGAATTTACGTGACCCATTTGTCTCATTCAAGTCTTCATGAGCTTCTCAGTCAATTCTTATACACTGCAACATGTTTGAAGCTTGTAGAAATTCTAGTCACTAAAGTGGAGAATCATTTTCGATCTCCTCCTCCTACATTGAGGGCGTTTGCATCCTCCATTTCTGCCTGGCTTAAGGTGATGGTTAACAATGCAATCCTTTCTATTAGTATCTGGATCCCATTGGCTGAGTAATGCAATCCTTTCTATTAGTATTGGAACTGTGGCCCTTATGTCACTTGTATATTGAAAGAAGTATTTAGTTAAGTGGTTTCTGGTGCAGAGGTTGCATGGAATTGCTTTAAAGGAAGAAACAAAGATACATGATTCCAACAATGGAGCCACACCAACCCTATTGGGTTTAGCAAGTTCTTTGTCAAGGTCAGTATGGTTTAGCTTTCAAAACTTTACCTAGCAAAGCTAGGGATGCCTCTAACTGTTTTGTTGTTGTGGAACTAACTGATAATCTTTCCTTGATATCAGCCTTTGCTCAGGTGCTGAATATCTGTTGCAAATAGTGAATGGAGCCATCCCCAATGAATGCTTTAAGACTAAGTCATGTATTCCAGCTGCTGACTTAGCTGTGCATATCCTGGATTATCTTTACACAAAGCTTGATGAAGCATGTCTTGTGCAAGGTGGTGAGGTTGGCATTGCTTTCTCCCTAGTGCTTCAGTGTTGCTTTGAGTTTTTGCTAGAAGAATCAAATATCAAAATTCTATTAATTTCAGGAGGAAGCTTATAAGATGTTGGTTCATATATTTGTTGGAAGCTTATTGCCATATATTGAAGGCCTTGATTCTTGGCTTTTTGAAGGTACTCTTGATGATCCATTTGAGGAGGTAATTGTCAGGCTGTCTGGTAACACACTTAATATTACTTTACAAGCATGTCTTGCTTATGGACATTGAACCATGTTAGCTATCTTTGTAAACAGCTTGCTTGATGCCATGATGCAGATGATTGTTTGACAGGTCAACTCAATGTATTCTGTGATTTTCTGATGGATTTGCAATTAGATTTTGTTAGTGTATTTGTATTATGACTTACTTGAAGTTTTAATTATGCAATATGTTTATGATATATGTAGTACTTGGAAATTATTGTTTGAATTTACTCCTTTAGGCAACAGTTCAGCTGGTTTTTTTTTCTTCTTTTTTCCTTTTTTTATTTTAAATTATTGTATTCCTTAGTTTGTATCCTTTGTTTTCCTGGCAGTTGTTTTTCTATGCCAACAAGGCAATTTCTGTTGATGATGCTGAGTTTTGGGAAAAGAGCTATCTATTGAAGTTGGCACAATACCAGAAGTTGAAAGTTGAGCTTGCTGCTGCAACTGATGCTCACCTACATGTATCCATGACAAAAGACAAGAAGGAAACATCTGAAAGGGAGTTTATTTCTACATCTATTCCCATGAAAGGAAAAGAGCAAAAAAATAGAGATCTTTTAGCATGTCCTTTATTTATTAAGGACATAGCTAAATCAATTGTCTCTGCAGGAAAATCATTGCAGCTGATCCGCCATGTTCCTATGACATTATCTGTAGCTTCTGGAAGAAATAATGATAATGGAAGTGATGGTTTTGGAAGTCCTAATACTGGGAGGGATTCAAGCAAGATTAATCAGAGGCAGAGCATGGGAAGGTTAACATTATCAGAAATTTTCCTTGTGTCATTAGCTGGTCTTCTTGGTCATGGTGATCACATTTATAGATACTTTTGTCAAGATGACCAGTGTAAACCAGAAATTATTTCCTCATTGTCCTGCATTGAAGAACAGATGGCAGAGAAAGAGACTGTTGACACTTTGCCAATTCCACCATACTCAGAGACAATATGGTATAAGTTCTTGGTTGAGACATTGTCAAAGAAAAAGGTTCTAGATTTACAACCTGGGCATAGCCATTCATGTGATTTTCCTGACACAAAAGAAGCAGATGCTGTTAGAGGCCTAGAAAATGCATTTCTACTCCGGAGATCATTTTGTCCAGAAAACCCAGTTATTACGGTGTGTCAAACATTCCTTGATAAGAACAGCAATGCTTGGAAAGAGCTTTGCTTGTCTAGAAAGTTGTATCTACCCCCTTTAAATGATGAACCCTTAAGAAAAGCAGTGTTTGGCAACCAAGGTGAGCTAGTTAAAGGGATCAAGGGAACAAACTATACTTTTGGTTTCCAGTTTGGGGAATCAGAATATCTTCGTGCTCAGGATGAAATGAGGTTGTTGGAAGTCTTGTTTCCTTTGCCCACTCTTCTACCCCCTTTTCAGGTAAGCTAGACCAATAGCTAACAGTCTAATATTGCGATCCCAGGAAATGTTTGTATAACTTGATCTGCTTTGGAAACAGGATGAGCTCCAGATGTCAGAAGTCTTGCCTTTCCAGAATAACAGCACCCTGTCATCAAGAGTAATCAGCTGGATTCAAAGTGTTGAACCCAGAACTACCCCACTCCCCATGGTTATCATGCAGGAATGCCTCACTGTCTACATCAAGAAGCAGGTAAACTTCTTGTTCCATGATTAACAGACCCCTGTTATTTATTTCATTTTGGATGGACTTTTTGATGTTTTATTTTGTTTGGTTTTACATGTAATAGGTCGATTACATTGGCAGTCTTGTCCTGTCAAAACTAATGAATGACTGGAGATTGATGGATGAGCTTGCATTGTTGCGAGCCATATACTTGTTAGGTTCAGGTACCTTTTAGTATGTTGAACTTATAGTTTTTAGTGCAAGCAAGAAGACATTCATATTTCCTGGTTCTCTCTGTTATCCCTCTCACATCTTTCTACTTCAGGTGATTTGTTGCAGCACTTTTTGACTGTGATTTTTGACAAGCTGGATAGGGGGGAAACCTGGGATGATGATTTTGAGTTAAACATAATATTACAGGTATGATTGACTGAACAAACCTTTACAGTGTTCATAGTTGAGCACCCTTTTTATTCAGTAAGATGATTATTTGGTGATTTTGACTTCAACTTCATTATGATGATGGTAATTGCCACTAAGTCTGTACATATCATTAGTTCATTCGTCTGCTGTTTTCAATTTGTGTTATCCTTGACTCCTTGTTATCTTAGTAAAGGTATGTGCTTGTTGACTACAGGAATCCATTAGAAACTCGGCAGATAGCATGTTAGTTAGTAGTCCGGATTCTTTGGTGGTATCCATAACCAGTAATTCTGGTTTTGATGGTCATGACCAAACTAGTACAGTTGCTCTTGCTTCCACTCCCCACAAAGGTCATTCACATAGCTTTGGGATTGATTGCCTTGATTCTCTGAAATTCTCATACAAGGTCTATACTTTCTTCTAGCATGCTTTATTTTTTTTAATCTTAATTCATGTCTTTTACTATATGAACCAATCCTGTTTGGTACATCATGCATTGGATTTCACAGGTCTCTTGGCCGCTTGAACTTATTGCTAATACAGAGGCAATTAAGAAGTATAACCAGGTACCTGATTTTTTTTTTTCTTTTTCTTTTTTGTTAAGTTGTTGTCTAGTTGTATTAGAGTTCCTTAATCGCTGTGTCCAAATGCAGGTCATGGGTTTTCTGTTGAAGGTGAAGCGTGCAAAATTTGTGCTTGATAAAGCTCGAAGATGGATGTGGAAGGTTTTTTCTGAATTTTATTTTTCTCTAGTGTAATTTTAGTGTATTTTCCTCCAAACTGTTCTGGTAGATTTGACAGAGGATTGATTATGGCAATTTTATTTTGATAATGCTTCTTCCAGGATAAGGGCACTGCAAGAAGCAATCACAAGCGCCACTGGTTGGTTGAGCAGAAACTCCTCCATTTTGTGGATGCTTTTCACCAATATGTAATGGACAGGGTAAGAATTCTTACAATGCAAATGTGGCTATTATCTTTGAAGTTTATGTTTTTTCATTTTTCTTCTTCTGACTTTTGTTTAATGTCTTTTAAAAGTTTTCTTGCTATTGATGGTTTCTTAAAATATGTTTATTTTGTGAAATTTTGCTGTTTGTCACTGATAAGGACCAACTTGGATGGTTTGATATGTTGTGGCTTTTACACATGTATGAGCTTTTTAGATCTCTGATATCCATTTGCTGAGCAGGTGTATCATAGTGCATGGCGTGAACTCTGTGAAGGAATGGCAGCAGCTGGATCTTTGGATGAAGTCATAGAAGTACATGAGGCATACTTATTATCAATACAAAGACAATGTTTTGTGGTCCCTGATAAACTGGTCAGCACTGCCTTTTTTTCACTTTTTTATTCAAATTCTTGGATCCTTTTTAGGTGGAAAGTTATGTGAAGAAGCCTGATGCACGTATTCTTTTTTGAGCTCAGTGGGCTCTGATTGCAAACCGAGTCAACAGCATCCTTGGACTAGCTTTGGACTTCTATTACATACAGCAGACTTTGAGCAGTGGTGCAGCTGTTTCTGCAATCAAGACCAGATGTGAAATGGAAGTGGATCGGATTGAGAAGCAGTTTGATGATTGCATTGCTTTCCTCCTTAGAGTAGTCTTCTTCCTATCCTGCTTGCATTCTTCTTTTTGTTTGTCTTGATATCATGCTTTGTTGGTTACATGATACACACATACATAAATACACCTTGATTTTCATTTGGGGTCTGCCAAATATTTCCATCCTTCCTCACTGTGATACATCAAGTGGATGCCTAATTATAAGGGTTCCGTTGAATTTGCAGGTCTTGTCTTTTAAGCTCAACGTGGGGCATTTTCCTCATTTGGCTGATTTGGTTACAAGAATTAATTACAACTTCTTCTACATGTCTGACAGTGGAAACTTGACGACTACCCCTAGCTCTGAAGCAGCTACTTCAAGGAAGGCCTTTGCTGGTTGAGCAGACTTCTTTTAGTTGCCTGGTATTATCAGCAATGGCCCCTACCTGTAGATATTAGGATATGCCTACTCCTTTCTATATTATCTGAGACTCTTGTTTCTGCATATTCTCTTCAAAAAACTAATTTCAGAACTATTTTACTTCTGTACTAGTGTGGCATGTCTGCTTGTAGAATTTTGAAACTTGTTTCAGGGCATCCATTTTGATAGATTGATTCATATTCAATGGAAAGTGCAACATGCTTGTAATCTATTCCAATATTTCAAAATATTTTAGTGAGTAATTTATTTATTTATTAGTAATCTTGTACAGGTTTCCCTGACACACTTTTTTTGGTAAACACTAATAATTTTCTTAGTATTTTATGTTTCATTTGAGCTAGCATTATATTTTTAATCCAATTGTGTTTTATTTAACATTTAATATAATTTTTCTTTCCAAAATTTTACAAATAAAAAAGGGGAGAAAAAAACCAGAAACAAATCCTGCAATTTTGTTAACTTCCAAGTTGTTTTTTGTTTTTGAAGAACACCTTAACTTTCCAGTTCTGGGTTTTACCTTCTACTCTTTATTTTAACGTTTCAAATTTTACTTCTTTCTTCATATTGTTTTTATATTTTCTTAACGTGATACCAAATGGTACTCTATTTCCATTTCCCACTCCACTTGGGCAAACTTGCCTACATCCATAATCAGGAGTTGGAATGGAAAGTTTCAAATGCTGCAATGGTAAATATACCTGCCCTGGTGTTGGGGCTATTATGTTTGCAAGAGGGAAATATTGTTGTGGCAATTTGACAAAGTAGGGTTCTCATGATTGTTATTAGGAGATTCTTTCAACCAAGATCTACATGTTTGCTCAACTTATTGATTTGTTCATTCATTTCTTTGAACTGAATTTTTGTGAGTGTCCAATTCTCACGTATGTGATATGGGAGAATATCAAACGTGTGGCCACCATACACAAACACTCTCTCTACACAAAAGGTTTTTGATATGCACTGTGGGAAACCGGTAGATTTTGGTATAAAGGGTTGATGGTACCTTAGGAATGGCTATTTCTTTATCTTTTTTACCTAGATTATTAGATATTAGAAGGAGAGGTTGTATAGTCCATCAAATATTCAATGTTTAATGAATTTTTTTTTTTTTTGATCTCTTTGGTTTTTTTTGATCTCTTTGGTTTTTTTTGGTTCTACATCTTTCCATTCATCACTACGTATGTATTTGTTTTATAAATTGGAGAAGCTGCTCTCATGGTGGGGTTATTGTCACGTCCAAAATAATTAATATTATACTTTTTTAATATAATCATTTATTATACTCTTACATTGCACTTTTTTTTAAAATTATACATTTTTTGTGTTTTAATAAATTAAAAGGTATAATAATCAACTAAAATTAAAAAGTGTGACATTAGTAATTCAAGGTATGGCAATAACATTACCTTGCTCTCACCATATGTAAAGTTTAACGCTATCTATTGCTAAGATTTTTGGTATCTTAGATCATTTTTAATCTCTTTCAACTTTAATAGTCTTAATTTAACCTTTTGATTTTTTGAATATAAAATTTAAATGAAAATTTAATAATTTATATGAATAAAAATTAAATTTTTTTTCTTATATGTAATTGTTGTTGAGTATTTTTATTTGACAAAAAAAATTTTGATCATCGTCTATATAATATATTAAGAGAGCAATAGTATAAATAAGAATACTAATTTTATACCTTTTTTTTCTATTTAAAAATGTCAAATTTTAACTATTTTTATTTAAAATTATCAACTTTTAACTTTCTTTATTTTAAAATATTAATTTTTAATTTTGTCTATTTAAAGATTAATTAGGTAGTAATGCAAATATGGTAAATGAACTTTTTAACTAAAATGTTAAAAGTT